TCGACGGGGGGGGGGGTTGCCTGAGGCCACGCGTTTGGGGGGGAGGAGGGGGTTGCGATTGTTGACTCGCGAGGCGGCGAGGGCGGCCGACATGGGGAGGTCACAGCAGCGTTAGCATGAGCCTGCCCCTGACCATGTGCAGGACACATTCAGGGGCCGCTCCCCCGTGTACCGTTACCTGGTTGTCGGCCAGAAGGTCGACAACAAGGGGGTCATGATGCTGCGTTGCACTTTTTGCAACAAAGTATTTTAGGGGAGCCAATTCTAGGCGAAGAGGCATTTCACGCAGACGAACTACTGCAAGGACGTCAGCGACGAGGCTTTGTACGAGATAGCGCGACGGAGTCAACAGAAGTTCGAGAGCGATCAAATGGAGAGGGTTGCCAGGTACGCGGCGGAGCGCGGACTCGATGTGCCTGGCACAGGTGGTGTGAGGGGAGGAGAGGCGGGGCGGCAGCCCGTGGAGGGAGCGTCAGGAGGGGTCGGGGGAGATGGTGGAGGTGGAGACACGGAGGAGGGCGCGATCGATGTCGATCGCGAGGCGCGTGTCCCGGGCGAGCAGGGAGTCCCGGGACACGAGGACGTGCTTGAGGTTTATGCAGGCACTGGGGAGAGGATGGAGGACTTTTTGAGGCGAGCAGCCAAGGGACCTGTAGGGGAGGGTTCTTCCAAGAGGAAGGAAGGTGGAACAGATCCGGCCGCCGCCCCAGCTGGGAAGAGGCTTCGCCAGCAAAAGGTCACTGAAATCTACGGTGGCGAGTGGGTTGCTCGCCACAAGAAGACATTCCTTCGCTGGCTCTATTCCAGCGGGGTCCCCTTCAATGCCTTCCGCAACCAGGCTTGGAAGGCATACCAGTAGGTCCTTCTTGAGCAGCCTGGCAGTTCCCCGTGCGCTGTGCTCCCCAGCCACAGCGAGATTGCGAGTATGCAGGCGGTGGAAACCCACCGTGAGGAGCTGGCGGAGGAGTTGGAGGAGGTGAGGCAGCCATTCTGGATCACTGGTGCCACCCTCCTCTCCAACGGGAGGAAATCACGAGACGGGAGATCAATCGTGAATTTCCTTGCCGCCGGCTCGCGAGGGGTCGTCATGTACACGACGATCAATCGCGAGGGCGAGCAGGACGATGCAGTGCACGTCCTTCGGAGATGGGTGACCATCTTCCACGAGTTTAGTTTCGGCGGCCCGTAGCGGGTCAATGCGATATGCACAGACTCCGCATCGGCGTACGTGGGGGCTGCGAGGGAATTGACCTCGCCGACCATCCCTCCTGCACTCAGGAGGATCACTTGGCTTCCGTGTTCCGTCCATGTCTGCAACAAATTGTTGTCAGACATGGGGACGAGTTGCGACGCGTTTGTGGACGCGATTACACGCGCTCGTGTTCTGGTGGTGTTTTTCAAAACCCACTAGGCCGCCCTTCATTTCTTTAGGAAGCGCAGCCCCAACAAGGGGTTTGTGCTTTCTTGCGAGATGCGGTTCGCGTCTGTTTATTCTATGTTGGAGAGACTGTTGGCCCTGCAGAACACTCTGCAGACGATGATGCGAGGGGATGACGGACGGGAGTTTGTTTCTATATCGTGGTCTGCCGATGTGTGCGACATGACGCGTTGGGTGCGCCGGCAGATCAGATGGGAGCCTTGGTGGCACACGATGGCCACCATACTCCACATCATGCAGCCCGTCATGGAGCTGCTTAGGCGGATGGATCGTGGGGGGCAGTACATGTCCCTCATGATCGAGTGGACACATGATCTTGTCCGCCGTGTCACTGATGCATGCGCTCCTTTGGGGAGGGTTTTCGCTGACCGCATCATCAGGCATGTGCAGGCTCGCACACAGCACATGCTGGAACCTGCTCACTGCGCGGGGTTCTTACTGAACCCCCGCAGGCGACATGTTGAGTACTTTTCGGGCGAGGTGAGGGATTACCCTGGTTGGCTTGTGAGGCAAGCCAAGGGGTACATTTTGACGCAGACGGGTTTCGAGGAGGATGATACGGAGTACATCATTGCATGTCGGCAGTTTGAGGACTTCCACATGCAGCAGGGCACATTTGGGGATTGGGGAGGGGGGGAGGGGCGTGCTTGTGGGCGTGCTTGCAGCGGCGTCAGGGAGACGATTGAGTGCGCGTCCTGGTGGTCTCAGTACGGGTCTGGCGCACCTGAGTTGCAGCGTTGCGCTCTTCGTGTGATGCACATGTGGTCTTGCGCCTCTCCAGCGGAGAGGAACTGGGCAGTCCACGAGGGCATTCACACGAAGAAGCGCAACCAGTTGGCCTTTGAGAAGGTCGTTCAGCTCATTGAGATCACCGCGAATGTGCGGTTGTCGGAGTATCGACGGGCTGGGTGTGGTTATGTGCTGCCATGGCAGCGGGACGAGGGCATGCTAGACTGCCAGGCCGGACTGGAGTTGGAGCCAGTGCGCACGGGCACGCGCAGGGGGATGACGTCGGAGGAGATTGCCCGTCAGGTTGCGCTTATCACCCGGGATCCCATTGGGGTCTCCGCACCACCCGCCGCTGAGGCCGTATTCGGTAGACATGCTTCCATTTTCCGTCCTTACCCCAGGGAGGATGATTCAGACAAGGAGTCGGTACCCGAGGCAGCGAACCACCCCGCGCTCCGCATTCCCCGTGAGATCGACGAGACGCACGAGGATCCCGAGGAGGAGACCAGGGCGCATACTGCACGACGGGCGGCGGACAGGGCGGAGAGGGAGATGATGGGGGGAGAGGAGGAGTTGTGGGGACCGTTCGGGGAAGTTGCTTCCACGGGCGGCACAGGAGCGCGGGCGACGAGCCCCGCTCCGACGAGGCGGGAGTCGTCCGTGCCGCCACCTTCTGCTCCGAGTCCTGCACCGCCATCGCCCGTCGCGCCATACGATCCGACCACAGCAGCAGAGGACACAGAGGAGTTGGCGTCCTCTTTGCCTCAGCGCGGACTACTCCACAGAGGCGGGGTAGTCCGACAACTGAGGTTACGATCACCTTCTCCGGGGGTCTTGCAGGAGGAGGGGGGACCGTCGGCAGCGACAGTGGAGGGGGAGATGGCAGTGGAGGGGGAGATGGCAGTGGAGGGGGGATTGGCGGACACGACGATTGCAGGTGTGGTGGACCAGATAGCTGTAGCAGCAGCGACTTCATTGCTAGAGGAGCTAGCAACTTCAGTGTTGGCGGAGGAGGCACCAACGCCAGGGGGAGCAGATGCAGTGGAGGGGCAGGCGGGAGCAACTGGAGGAGCAGTGGGAGGAGCAGCGGGAGGAGCAGCTGGAGGAGCAGCTGGAGGAGCAGCTGCACAGGATGGGCTTGTGGCTGCAGCAGCAGGAGCAGCTGGAGGAGCAGATGCAGTGGAGGGGGGAGTGCCAGGAGCAGTGGAGGAGGAGATAGGGGCACAGGCGGAGGTGTCGCGTGGGGGCGGCGACGAGCGCCTCATGCAGCAGTTCCTCACGGAGCAGTACGATCCAGTCATGGCGGGTGTGACTCCAGGTGTGGCGAGGGGCTTGGGGATCTCGGATTCGCAGATGGGGAGCCACCTGGACTTAGATATGTCGATGGGATTTCCACCTAGTTGCGGCGGGGCGACATCGACGGATCGCGCTCCATCGAGGGACGACGCGGCTGGAGAGAGTCACACGCAGCCCCAGAGAGAGACGACGACGGGGTCTCCGGATGCGGCACTCGACATCATGGAGCGAGAGAGGGCTCGACTTATGGCATCGACTAACCCGCATGCTCAAGCGTTCGCACGGGCGTTGGAGGATGCGAGGCGTCGAGAGACAGGGGGGGATTGTGTGGAGGGTGGGGTCACTGGGGTGGTTGCGGGGGAGGATGTTGTGGAGGGGGTGGCAGCCGAGGCAG